GAGGCCGGAATCGGCGGTTGGCACGACAGAGATAGATGATCAAAATCAAAATGAAAAGACAACTGAGAGCTACTAGGGAGAGAGTGTGACAGACTGACAGTAGATAAGTGAAGAGTCTGAAGGCGAAGGATACAATCCTTCTCAACGCGCGCTAAAATTGGAGCGGTACAGAGTTTACATTAGAAGATTAGCAGGGGCGCTGCAAGGTAAGACGTCTATCTCCCAAACAATACGCAAGGCTCATCGATTACAAATAYAACTAGGATCACTTCTCACATTCTCGGCKGGCATCCTCTATCCCATCGCACAAAAGACAGTTGRGCAATGACGTCCCGCCAAATCCTCCTCGCAGACAACTAGCTTCACGAAGCCGAGAACGACGGCAGCAAATCCTGACGAATCGTCCAATCGCAAATCCGACAAAGAGCATACTCGCACACTACAATGTCATCTACGTATTCACACACTACGGTAGGTGACTAGGAGTTTCATTGATATGTATGACCGCAATTACGACTAGCCATCGACGTATTTAGCACCTATTTCCTCTTAAAACGCCTAGTGTGTGAGCATTGCCAAAGAGAGGACTGCGCATAGAAATATCAGTCTTTCACACCCGACACACGCACACACACACACACACACACACACACAGAGAGAGAGAGAGAGAGAGAGAGAGAGAGAGAGAGAGAGAGAGAGAGAGAGAGAGAGAGGACGCTACGGGAAGAGTGGAGCAGAAGACGAAGCAGAACCGACAAGACGAAGGAAGGGCATCCTTCCCACACCAGGAAGGCCAGCAGGAACGAGAAATGAGAGACGCGGGCGAGTTCTGAATCGCTAACCGGAGCGTRCTTGGCAGTGTCGACGAAGAGTGAGCCCTCCACACAGTCGATATCCGTGTCCGTAGCTGACAGTGCCTGCTTGAGTTCGTGATGGATGCCAGTGCAGCGTGCGCTTTTTATAGAGGGGGTTTTGCCCCTTCTCCGTCATCTCCTAGTTTCAATCACTTGAACCTCCACACTTTTTTTTTTTGGAAAAACGCTCCATCTATTGGTGGGGAGCAGCACCTGCTGGAAACCGGGTCCAGCGTCCCATAGATACAACCATATCCTCACAAATTGGCACGAACTGGGAACCTCTTGAAGGGCATACGCACAGTGTCACTTTCTTGGAATGGGTGTACCTGACAGCCACAGTGCCCACATTTAGGGCATACTCACACTAGGACTTTTTTACTTATTTCTGGACGGAATTGCGGCCAGATGCATACAAGTGTGGCCGAAATTAAAGTCTGATGGATTATGGGAAGTGCTAGTGTGAGTATGCCCTTTGTCGAGAGCATTTCCATTCTTTTTATTTTTATTTTTTATCACAGAAGCAGCACGATCTGGAACGACTTTATTATTTTGTAAAATGGTAACTGGAGTGCTCTTTTTTCTCCCGGCTCCCTTCACCAGCCAGATCCAAATTACCATGCCACCCCAGCATCTCACATGGCTTGCATGCATACCCCTTCCACTGCAGAGCATTTCCATTCTGAGGGCATACTTACACGGGGACCTGTAATCCCAAAATCCCAAAAAAAAAGGGAAAATGCCGGTTACACGGATCTACCAAATTTGCAAATGTACTATTCCAGTTTCCATTTGTCTTCGCAAATGTACTATTCCAGTGCCCATTTGTCAGCGGCCTGGGAAGCCGCGGGGCAGGGCAAGGGATTTTGCTGCCACCTCTGGATGCAGGATGCTTGTTCCTATGCCGATAAACAGCAGAAGATGGCTGTTGTGGGTTCTTTCCTGCATAGAGTGAAGAGGTTTACAGACATGCCTGGTGCAGAACTGAGTTTTCTGTTCTCTTTGAAGATTGAACTGCGCTTGAGAGGCTTCAAAGATAAGTTTTTTGATGACACTCTCAAGAATTACTCGATGAAGTTTGGAGGACTGTGGGGTACTTGGGTTCAATGTTTGATAGGATGGGAGAAGTTGACTGTGGGGTACTTGGGTTCAATGTTTGACAGGATGGGAGAAGTTTTTCCCGGCACCAAGGGAATAGCATCGCTTAAAGGACCTTGCTTACTATTGGGTTAAGAGGCATTGGGAGTGCATGCTGGGGGCGCGGAGTTCGGCCTCTGGTATACGAAAGGACGTGGGGGGCACAGGCTTCGTGAATATATTTTTGTTTTTCTTTCCTTTAAAAAATAGGCCTGTTGCCTCTGGGTTTTCTGGCTTGGTAGGATGGATTAATAGTCTGATATTTGGGGCTGATGGTCCTGTTTCGATGCTAATGGAACTGTCAGTAGAACTGACTAAAGGGGTCTGACAACTATGGGTCTGTTTGGACCTGGGAAGGGGTCCGGTCTTGGGTTTGAAGAGTCGTGACCAAGTTACCTAGAGGAGAGCTGACCCAACGTAGGCTAGATGTAGTATATAGGTGTTTGATACGCTGGTCAGTTCATCAGTCCGTGACGAGTAGACCCCTGATGAGTCCGGCTCTGGCGGCCGGATGAAACATGTAGGGTTGTCCGCCAGTTTGCTCGAATTTGTGCATCATTGATATGGGCGCGCCGCCTGCTCTCGGTTCGAGCCTGATGGGTCCCTGTTGCACGATTATCTGAATG